CCAGTCCCCGGTATCTCCTCTATTCCTGGCTATGGTGGCGACCATAGAATACTATAAAACACAATAGAATGGCTGTCAATGTTATTTTGTACGAGATTCGGCGTCGCCGTGAGCACACATACCAGCAATTACGTCGTATTATCACTACTACAAATACGATTCGCTGTGTTGACGAACAGATTTAATACATATTTATTTGTAAATAGCGTGCAATTTGGCATTTTCTAAATAATTTGTATGCGAAATTTGATTACGTGTAAATTTACGTATTAGTGAAATTTTCGTGGCTACACGGGCTCCGCCCACTCCCCCGTTCTATTATGTATGTAATTATAGTATGCTATGGTGGTGACATAGGTACGGCAGGGTAAGCGGTACTAAGAATCTCCGGTAGGGGTTTGGTTTCCTTCTAAGACGACTTGACCAGGCAACATTTAACGCGCGAACCCTGAGTACTGACGAGAAGATCCTGGAACTGTAAGAAAAGTTTGACAATGATCACTGGGATATTTTAGGAATATCTGAGGTCTGATGAGAGAAGGACACTGTAATACTCGGATAATCCGGCAACTTGTTCTATCACCAGGAGGGCGCTCACCTCTCCCAAGGAGGTGTTGGATTTATCGTCCACAAGTCTCTCGTTAACATTGTTGTAAAGATTATGAGTGTGTCGACGAGCGTTGCGTACTTTATACTCAGAATCACCAATAGGTATCCGTTGAAGGTCAGAAGGTCATCAGGAATTAATGACGTAGTAATTTTAAAACAGCAAACTTACCTCCTGCTAAGTGGTTTCTTAATAATGTAAAATTTTAAACTAGATTTGTATTGATACATGAATTGAGATGTTATATTGGTCTTGTTACTGGTTATAAAATAAGACTACGTTTATATAACCAGTCATCTATGGGGGTCGGGTTGTTTAAAATGTAACGTTATATCTGTTTTTTTTATAGTTGAGTATTTATTTTATAATAACTAAATGGCGTTCCTTATGGATTAAATAGAGTTAAGGTTTGCCTTAGTTAGATGTTCAAATAAAACTCAGATTGGTTGTTGTAATATGTGTGTTATTTCGTCGCGACATAAGTCTCCTATGTGTTTGTTTATTGATTAAAGATGCATAGTATGCATAGATGACGTAGTGTTTTAACATATAACGTTATAAAAAAAATGAATTTTAAGTAATAATGAAGGAAAATGCTGTGATAATAAATTAAACCAACCGCGCTTAGTGATGATAATACGCTATTTTAATTATTGGTTGTGTGAGAGAATTTGCACGCGTGTGGAATATGTGTAGAAACTTAAGCTAAGTACACACTGGAAATAATGTTTTATGTGTAATATGTACGATAACTCGTACTCATACTCTAATGGCTACCTAATAAGAGATTCACAAAGGCAGACTTATACAGAGACTCAGGACATGCGTTGTGGCTTTCCTGGTTATATGATTATATAATTTTTTTTAAATACTTGTGCTTTTATATAATTTTGAAAGTCTTTTTGAGCCACTACAACGACTGGTTAGAGCTAGTTATTTTATAAAATACTAATACTATTCAGGAAGCTCTCGTGCAACTCAATTTATGTGGCTTTACGAACCGTCACGTACAAATACATACAAATTGAATTCCGTAGAATTGCTTCCTTTCAACTGCGACACTTGTTACAAACAAATGGACTGGTTAACGAAAGTAATTTTTAACAATTAAACTCTAAGAAAAAGTTAAAATTGACTTCAAAAAATGTAGAAAAAATAATTTCCTCATAACTTAATGGCTTCTGAAGTCGTTGTTAAGAAAAAGTGTTTAAGAATTTAATTATATCTTAATATATATAAATTACGTGTCACGTTGTTTGTCCGCGATGGACTCCTAAACTACTTAACCGATTTTAATCAAATTTGCACACCGTGTGCAGTTTGGTCCAACTTGAGAGATAGGATAGTTTTTTTGCCCATGAGTGGGTGGATTGTATTTTTGCGAATTTTGGGATTTTTAATAGGACATGACAATAAGTCGTTGAAAAGGGCAGAACAAGGTCTGCCTGGCAAGCTAGTAGAAATATATATTTTTTTCTTTTTTTAGTGTTTCTTGTCAATTTATACTTTATTTAGAAAACATATTTCCGTATAATTTAATACATTATATGGAAGAAGTTCCATGCATTCAAATTTAAGACCTTTCATACTTCCACAGGTATAGCACTGGTCTCACAGCGTTTTTATTCTTCATACCTTGAACAACCATTCTAACTTCATCCACATTCACACTACTGTTATTAGGTCCGCATTCACATTTTTCATATTTTACTTTTAATCGACCTCTGCGAATGAATTAAACAATAACATTAGCGACAAGTAAGAGGTTGCTTATTTTATTATTTATCAATTCTCCAACCTTATTACATCTTATCAAATCATTCGTAAAAACTCCGTTCAATATTGATAAAAATGTGAATAAAATTATGGAATAAAATTTATATATTAAGTCTTTACCTATGAAATTTCCTTTTTTTACGAAATAAGTTAACGTAATATTTATTTCTATACTTTTTATTTCTCTTAGTCAAAGTAATCACAAATGCAATTGATGCATCTTTGCCAACGCAGTGGCAGTTTATTGATGCCTTTCTTGTAGGAATCAGCTGGATGGAAGGCAACGAACTCTTCAAAGGCATTTTGTACTGCCTCTTGGGTATTGCCTTTTTTCCCGTTCAAAAATTAACCAAATTTAAAAAAAAGTAGAAGTCCGTAGGCGTGAACTGTGGTGAGAACAGCGGATAATGGAGAGCTTCCAGCCCCAGTTCTTATAATTTGAAGACCGTCGGTTGTGTAGTGTGACGTCGTGTGTCGTGCAGGAGCAGCGGGGGTAAGAGATTGACCAAATCTGTTTGAAGACGTGTGAGATTCTCCATCATTTTGATTAGTTCTTCACAGCAGACATCTGCTCATCCCATTTGGTAAGAAGCTGTGATGAATCATGCCAGCGCTAGACAGCCAAAAAGTGGTCAAGAATTTGGCAATCACTATAATCCTCAAGGGAAATGGCATCGTGGCAGAACTGATAACAACAGGCAACCAAGAGGTAAGTTTCAACCGACCATCCGGCGGTGTGAGTGCTCCATGCTGGATGTGCGGTTCACACAGCACTTGTTTTGCAAAGCACTTCTCTCCCTAGATACCCACAAGTCGAGTGGGCCTGACGGGATCCCCCAATTGTACTGAGGATGTGTGCTCCAGTGTTGGCACCAGTTCAAACGCGTCTTTTCCGGTACTCCTACTCCCTAAGCGTTGTCTCTCAATAGTGGAAGACGCTATAGCAAACCATTTGGTTCCAATGCGTGGTAAGTCTACAACGAAAAGGTGGAGGCTGACCAAACATCTGGTTGTCAAATGGTGAAAGGGGAGGCAGGAATTATGCAATTCCTGCACACACTCTCCGAAATGCATCCAGTAAAAAAGAAAGACTGGCTATTTTTCGCCTGTTAGTGGCTAGTAAGATTAGTTCTAACCAAATTCGGGTCAACAATAAGCTCTTAGCACGCCTTTAAATTAAGTCCAAAGCCGACGGGTGGAATTTTGCAGCACCAGCCCATATATGGCAAAAATACTCCATGCACGACCGGACTTACGCTTTTTAAAAAGTAATCAGCTGTCCTGACGTGAAGTATCGCCGCACTTATTCCACTCAAAAAGTCTTTTACCTACTCAATGCCAGACAATGTCAAAAGCCTTCAAGTCATCAAGGGAAACAGCAAGTGCTTCCCTACTGTTCTCGATTGCCTCGCCCCACACGTGTATGGCATATGCTAGAAGGTTCTCAGCTGACCGATTTCGGCGAAACTCGTATTGCCGGTCACTAAGGAAGTCACTATGTTCTAGATATGCCATTTAGCGGGCGTTCAATATACGATCCATAGTCTTGCGGTGTATGGAGGTAATTGAGAGTGGATTGTAAGTTCGTTCGAAAAGCAGTACCAAGGTAATTTACGCTAGTCTTAGAATAAGCCTGAGTGGCAAGCGTTGTGGCGTGTGGCGTAATGGCGTTAACCCGGGGTTCATCGATAGGTATTTACGAACACAAACGGTCGCTACTGGGCAAAACGCACCAGGTTATTCATAGCTCTCTACATAAATACATCGATATTAATATCATTTTTTTAATTCTATATGTTTGTATGTACTATAAACCATATTTTTAAAATAACATTCTTAAAAATGTATTTGTCAAAATTTAAGGTACTTACAATAAATAGAACCAATAACTTAACTTTTGTCTTTATAATCTTGAAATCTACAATTATCCATTTTTTTCTTTTGAAACATACAAAATGAGATAAGACAATATAACAAAATACTATTGTCTTACAAACTAACAAAAATAAATTATAATTTTGTAATAAAAATTCTTTTGGTGAAATGGAGACCAAAAATCACAAAAAAAAAACAGCTTTCAAATAATTATTATTAATAATAATAAAAATAAAAAGGCGTAGGGAATTGACGACCCCATCGCCCGCTGACGTAACGGTTATGTGACAAAATCACTACGTCAAAGCAGTCAGTCAGCACCTTGCCAAGAGGTGTTAGTGCCGTGCCTCGGCAAAAATTAAAGGTGCAAAGACCCGATTGTGCAAATGGCCCCAACATGGAACGGCGCCGGGTCTGGGCGTCTCCCGTTAAATGACGCCCACCACTATGGATGATGGAATACGGAAGAACGCGCAAAGGGCCGCTGCCTGGAGGTCGCCAGGGCACGTCTGGAGCTGGCGCTGGACGCGACAGCATGCGAACCGCCAGCCGAGCGAGAGGTGCTGCACGATCACCTATAAGCCCCTCGCATCCATCATCGTCTTCGCGGGCCCAGCAATCGGCACCCGCCACTGGTGGAGTACGCCGCATGCGATGGACAATCGAAATGAATACTAACGCATTGCGGGCGTATTTTAGGGCGAAAGGGGGAGAAGTTGGAGGTTTGGCGTATCGGGCTAGCATGCATCGCTTTTTTGCAGAGCTGGAGCCATCTCTATCCGTCACTGAGCAAAACCTGGCGGACCGAGTTCGGTACATCCTGCGCTCCAACATATTTGGTGACGCCGAACTCGAACGACTACGACGTGAGGCTGTTCCCTCATTGAATGGAAATGCTACGGTTGGAAATACGGCACCACTAGATGCGCAGCAAACTGCATATGTGGATGCTGCCGTAAATATTCTATTTGTGGTTAATTCAGACGATGATGGAATAGTCTCCCACAAACTAGAGAAAATGAGGAGCTTATTGGAAGAGTCGATGCTGGAAACGCGCAGCATGCCTCTCGAAAATCGACCGCGACTTCCCCCGCATTCCCCTTAGCAAGCGAAATCGGGCTGTCGTGCGGGATCTTAACCCAATGCTGGTGACCTATTTGGAAGCCAGCCGGGACCTTGCGAGACGGACTCAATTCTTTTTGGCGCCGCACTGGCAGTATGCCGTATTATTGGAGCCAAACTTCAAAATGGCTGGACGTGCTACTCAACAAAGTAGCACCATCCCAGCCTGGAAAAAAAGAATCGAGGACCGTATCGCAAAGGTAAGGGCCCTTATCGGCAGACTGACAAGCTTCAGGTCGGGTAATAATAGACCGAGAGTTGTGCGCACCGTTAGAATGGCGTTTGCTGGGACAAATATTAGTTTGTCCCAGCTGGATATCACGCGAAAACTAACGGAGCTCATAGATGACCTGAAGCAAAAAATCGCTGCTTGGGGGAAGCGGATTTGACGATTTAGCGAGAGATGAAGGCGGTTCAACCAGAATCGTCTCTTCCAGAGTGATCAGAAGAGGCTCTATAAATCATTGGAGCGAACAGAGGTATGTGGAGCGGGCCCAGGACCGGATCAGGCTGACACTGTCGCATTTTGGCGTGGCTTGTGGTCAGAACCCGTAAACCACAGCGAGGGCCCTTGGATGAAAGTTGTGGCGAGCCAGAGTGCAAGTGTTACGCCTATGGACCCCGTTATCATAACGCCTGAAGACGTGGCTGGCGGCCAGTAGGGCCCCGAAATGGAAAAGTCCAGGGCTCGACGGGCTGCATCATTACTGGCTGAAGGGGTTCGTAGTATGTCACGCTGTGCTAGCCCGACAGTTTCAAGAGGCTCTCGATCAGAAGTCGCTCCCGAGCCTCTTCACTACTGGGATCACTCACTTGGTTCCTAAAGATCAGGATACCACAAACCCGAGCAAATACCGCCCCATCACGTGTCTACCCATTTTGAGCGCGAGAATCACTCGTCACCTGGAGCTAAATCAGGTGATGGCACGCGCTCAAAATGGATGTCGGGGTGGTGGTCGTGGAACCAAGGAACCACTCCTCATTGACGCGATCATTGGCAAAGTGATGAAACGCAACCGTCGGAACTTTTCCGCCGCCTGGATAGACTACAGAAAGGCATTCGACTCGGTGCCCCATACATGGCTAAAGAGTCCTCCAGCTGTACAAGATTGATTGTATGTATGTATGGGGCAGTGGAGTACGATCCTTTGTTATCTGGGCGAGCGGATGATGGCTGCGGAGAACCACATAAGGATAAGAAGTATCTTCCAGGGCGATTGTCTGAGTCCAATCTGGTTTTGCCTCTCTCTGAACCCTCTCAGTACTTTACTAGAGGGCTCCGGGAGGGGATTTCAGCTTCGGAAAGGAGGTACAAAAGTGACCCACTTTTTCTATATGGATGACCTCAAGTTATTCGCCTCCAGTCGCTCCCATCTTATGGAATTGCTATACATCACTTGTGAATTTAGCAATTCTATTGGAATGTAGCTGGGAACGGATAAGTGTGCGGTCCTCCATGTTGAAAGGGGAAGGGTTGCTAACTCGGAGGGCATAGACTTATCTATGCCCGTCAACTTAAGGACCCTTTCCGACGCCCCTGGGTATGTCGCAGAACATCGGTATCGATGAGGCTGGTATGAAACAGTCAGTTTGCGACGTGTTTTATGCACGCTTGACCAAAGTGCTTAAAAGCCTTTTGTCCGGTGTGAATAAGACACACGCATATAGCAGTTGGATCGTGTCTGTTCTCATGTATACCTTTGGCATACTCAGGTGGACTCAGACTGAACTTAACGCCCTGGATAGAAAAGTCCGCACTACAATGACGTCCCATAGGATGCATCATCCGAGATCGTCGGTAATGAGGCTGTACTTGCCGCGAAAGCATGGTGGGCGTGGCTTCTTGAGCGCGCTCACCATACATAATCGCGAAGTGTGCAGCCTCCGTGATTACTTTCTGGCGAGATCGGATGACCCATTCTATAAGGACGTCATTTCTTGTGATAAAGGACTTACCCCTCTATCCTTAGCCAAAGAGCAATGGCAAGACACGGCAGTGCAGAGCATTTCCGACCGGGAGACTGTATGGAAGGAGAAGGAGCTCCACGGTAGGTTCTACAAGGCTCTATATGAGCCTTTCGTAGACACAGTAGCCTCCTTTCACTGGCTACGCTTTGGTGATCTCTTCGGGGAAATCGAGGGTTTTGTCTGTGCAATACAGGTTCAGGTTATTAAGACCAACAACTATCGGAGATACATCCTAAAGAATGGCACTGTCGACATCTGTCGAGCTTGTCGCCATCCCGGTGAGTCACTTAGACATGTCATCTCCGGTTATTCGGAGCTTTCTAACTCTGAGTACTTGCACAGGCACAACCTAGTAGCCAGAATTCTTCACCAGGAGCTCGCTTCGGTCTCGTGGACCGGAAATTGCCGTATTACAAGTACTTTCCGGAAGCCGTGCTCGAAAATGATCGCGGCAGGCTCTATTGGTATTGGTATCTATATCCATCGTCACAGACAGGACTATTCTTGCGAATAAGCCTGATATTGTGCTGATGAACCGAGCACAGTCAAGGATATTTTTGGTCGACATTACCATTCCGTATTACGAGAACCTCGTTAAAGCCGAAACAGATAAGCAAACAAAATATCTGAACCTGGCTCAAGAGGTGACCGACATGTGGGGTGGTCTGCCGACCGAAATTATTCCTGTAGTCGTCTCTGCAAACGGGTTAATCCCAGTCAGCCTCTCGGGTCATCTGAGGTAGCTGGGACTACGTAGTGGACCGCTCCTGGCTCAAATGCAGAAGGCGGTGCTCCTCGATACCGCCCGCATCGTGCGCCGGTTTCTTTCCCTTTCCCCCTAACCCTCGGCCGTTTGGTCTCCCCCTGCCGAGGGCCTCCATCTGGTTGGGCTTTTATTTATATATGTATTTTTATATTTATTTTATGTTATTGATATTTATGTATATTTATCTTTTCATTTTCATTTATAATTATATATTTATAGAACCCAACCAGATGAGAAAACTATATTTATACCCACCATAATAATAATAATAAAGTTTATTTATTAAGGTATCAACCCACATATGTTAAGTACATTTTGCGTCAAAAACAATGAATTAGAGTATTATACACATACAAAATTACAAATTAAACTCTATTATGAGTTAGTAAGTATTTGTGTTTCGAACTATAAATGTAATTAATTCTATATCACTTTTTGGCAACAACTGCCACAAATAGGTACATCATATTGCCACTTCAGCTTACTAATCCGTTGGACTACGTCGGTTACTCTGGTTTTTCTTCTGATATTCTCATTTCTAAGTCTATCACGCAGATATACCCCGAGAATAGCCCTCTCTAAATTCTTACTAGTGGATACTGTGGCCCATAAACATCTACTTGTATATCTACTCTCGATTAAGAATCTGTGGCAACGTGCAATTTCGGTCCGATTTGAATATGTTTATTGAACGGCGTACGCACCGTCGCGATGTTCGTGTCGGTTGAGGTCGGCCATGCTCGGCGCCATTCATACTCCCTTCGTGGTCGTCTGTGCGGCTTTTTTTAATCCGCATTTAAACGTCCTCAGCTGTAGCCTCTACGCTCGCGCCGCCTAAGTAACCGTCATTTTAATTACGCCAACCTAGCCTCGGCTTCCTAGCTCAACTATTGTTTGTAACTAATTGTATACATTCATTTTTCACCTTTTTCCTTTGGTTTATACTCTTACCTTATATTTCGAACTGTCTTTTGTGTGGTAATATAAATATATTATACATTTAATTTGAAGAGTGCAAAACTTTTTTTGCCTAGAATCCATCCCACAAATCAAAATGCAGATGCGTTCTTACCCCTGAAAACTAAGATGCATTGATATCATACAAAATGCAGCTCCATTAACATCCTTATTTACGCTTGTATTCAGTGAGAGTGTGATCTTTCTCTGGTTGAAACTAACCGTTCGCGCTACAATCATAATACAGCTGCGGCGTGGATTTGCTACGTACAAAGTTTTTTGGGTACCTTAAGATCGCTCAAAACTAATTTTATTAACATTTATAAAGGTTATGTCAGCAGACAAAGAAAATATTATTTATGACTTTCTCTGACTCAGTTGGTAAATATTGAGGCAAGATATGGAATCATAAATCAAATGACAGGCTCGTGCTTCAACTAGGTTCTATTACGTATATGAACAAAAATAAGTGTGATAGTAACATATTGTGACGTTTTGAAATAATTAATATAAAGGATAATTTGACATTATATATTTTTGGTGTACCCAACATTTATTGGCATTTATTCTATTTATTCCGTGAGCCGTGGTAGCTCAGTGTGCCTAGTGCGAATTCCACAAAATTAATCGAATGACCATCACGTTAACCGAGTTAACGTCGTCGGTATCGACAAACGAAGACGAGCGAGTGTGAGTTACAATCGAAGCTAACCTTTCGATTCCCGTCTGCTCACCGTAAATGGCGTTTATTCCTTCTCTTATGTTGGTAGCATGTTCGCTTCGTGAGATAAACTAACCAAATTCAGAATGACATTTTTATTTAGTGGTCTTGATATTAGCATCTGTCTATCAAAGGGGGACGCCCATTTTCGGCCATGGAACGCCCAACAATGTGCATTTGTTAAAAAATTATATCTTTATTTATGGTTATTAATCGCGGTATTCATTTATCCTCAAACAATGGGAATATTTTTGCACAAATTAAAAGTACCGAAAAGATAATAATAAAAATTAGGTAGATCATTATGTCATTAGTTTGTGAATAAAAAAAAGTGTTGCCAATCACAAAACACATTTAAAAAATCGATTCTCTTTTTCGATCGATTATTTACGGTGTCATCATTACAGTACCAATATAATTTTTAAATAATTATTATGTTATGATAATTAAACAAGCGAATTACTAGTTGATTTCCAATGAATTCTTTAGAGAGTAACAAAACGCTAGGGCACAATTTTACTGTTAATCTTAACCGATCTTCTTTGAAAACAGATAAGGACTCTTATTCTTA